TGGTTAGTGGTGGTCAGAGGGGACGATGGCACAGTCTAGTTGCCTCGCTTTTGTCAGTATGCCCCAGGGCAGCTGTGGCTACAGTAGTAGTTTATCATGACTATGTATGGAGTGATAGGATAATAACATGTGAAGCGTCTTTGACCGTCCAAAAAGCGTTGTACAAAACCAATGCATTATTTTCATTATTATTACTACTATTATTTTCTTGGGGGAATTTCCCAGAATTCCATGGGTTTGAATGGGAGCAGTCAAAATGGTGGCTCTGGGAGTTCTCGTATTCTAAGAATTCTGGGTAGTCCTAGTGTAGACTCAATCACAAGTTCCCACCGTGCTGCTGCGGACCACATTACCATATCTGGACAGGATGTTATGTTTGCACTTTCTGTCTTGGTCCATGTCCAACGTTCTGGTCTTGTGCCTCCTGAAGGATGTTTGGCCGAGCTGCTCGTACTGATCAGGCGTGTTCCTCATTGGCCCCGGTGTTAAAGAAGTCACTCTGTTCTCCAGCTCCTCCGCCGGCGCCTCTCAAGACCTGGTTATGGAGCCAAGTACATCTTCCTCAATGAAGCCTTAAAGCTGCACTAACTCACTTTGTGAAATGTTGGAATGTGAGCGCAGGCCTTGCTCTTTCTGCTCCCTCTCCCCGTACTCACAGAGCTTTCGTGGATGAACGTGAATGGCGTGACCATAGAATGATGGAAGCGCGGAGGAACGAGACTTTCTTTTGGCTGTCTCACTGTGTAAGCAGTGACAAAGACTTGTTTACGCAGCTGTCTGTGCTAACCACAGACCTGTGGCTTTTCTTAAGAAAGTGGGGGCCAATGGTCCGCTGTGATTGGTTACAATCTGGTCCCGATACAAATCTGCGCTACTTTTTCTTCAAAAGGAGGAATATCCCAATGCACTGCATGGATATCGATTGAATTTTCGTAATGAATACAAAAATATATCAGGTAATGCAGCTTTAATGATGGTTTGATGGTGACGGTCGGTGAAGGTTGGTGACGGTCTGTGGCGGTCGGTGACGGTCTGTGACGGTCGGGGGCGGTCGGTGACGGTCGGTGATGCTACGTTGGCGACCCTCTGTTCCCCAGATGTCGCTCTAAGTCTTCTGTCTCTGTTACACTTTCCCAGTTGGTTCATTGAACTTGTCATTGACACATCCTTTACTTTCTCTCTTATTCTTGCCTTATATCTTCCTCCACCAGATGGCGCTGCTCTACAGTTGTGGCATTATTCCATTGAGAAAGACCAGGTTTAAATCCCAACCCAGACCTCGCTTCCTGGATTTGACCAGTGATCGTAAAGATGATTTAGCGACTGGTCTGGACTAGACTTTGATCTTGAAAGCGTAAACGAGAATACAGTTTTTGGAGTTATAAGTGACGAGAAACTAGATTGAAAGAGTCACAATAAACACATACAAACGGAAATATCACAAAGTATTTCAATCTCATTAGATTTACATCACACCATATACTTATGCTTTCATTTTACTCTTATTTTGACTATAGACCAGGCTCAGGAACTTATGGCCCGGGGGCCAGATGTGACTCTTTTGAAGATTGCGTTTGGCTCAAAGGCAAACCTTAGCCTTTTTTTTTCAGTATAAACATGTTTTTCAACAAAAGAATAAATACATTACTTTACCAATATCTCACTATTACCGTGTTTTGATTTTGTTTTTATAACTTCTATCTATTGTGACATGTACATTTCTCCAGCGTGAGATCAGTAAAGTCTATCTTATCTTAAAATCACATACATTCACAGTAAAAATAAATACTTATGGCTCCCACAGAAATACATGTTTGAGACTTTTTGGCTCTCAGTTAAAAAGGTTCCCGACTTCACAGTAATAACTTGACAGCTTTTTCAAACTCATGGAAAACATGATTAACTTGAAAGTTGAATGAATCAAAACGTGTTCATGAAGGAGAATTATAAATGAATGATTCAGTGCTTTACCAGAGCAAATAAAAAACACGCAACAAAGTTATAATAATGTGAACACGAGGGGAGAGACTATCCCTCAAAGTCTTTCCTATAGCGCCCTCTAGCGGCGGACTACTGTAGTAACAGCTGTGTGTGACCTGAAGTCGTGCCCTCAGATGAAAACAGCATTCTAAAGCTTTCTTTTTAAACAAACAAAATGAATGATACAGTTAGTGTTTGTATATTCAAGTATCTATAATAACTCTGGTCAAAGTATTTAAAATATTCAAGTAAATACACCCAGCTCTATTTCCTTAATCAACAACAGTACAATCTGAAGGTAGAAACTATTTTGAATTTGCATTTTGAGATCCAGAAGCATCACAAGACTCTCTCTCGATCTCAATGTCAAAATCGATACCAGTGACACTACTTTACTGCTACAGCTACCTGTAAAAATCTAATCTGTTTAAAACCTTTTATCTAAGCTGGACAGGGCCTGGTGAATAGAGTGATGGGAGACTCAGCAAACTAACCATCATAATGTCCTTAAGCAACACACTTCCCCACATTGTGCAGTCTGGAGTGTGTGTAAATAATAATTTTGTTCTGAACCTTAAACATATATAATAAATACATAATGTAATAAAACGTATATAATTAGAAGTGACATCTTAAAAAATATTTGCGGATTGTGACATTTATTTATTATTTTGACTCTTGATCCTTCATAAAAACATATTTCAGTGCTGAAAAAAAAAAATCATTATAAAACCGATGCACTATTATCATTATTATTGATATTGCAGAAAACAAGACTCAGACGTCATGATATTTTAGAATATTTAATGTTTCTTTATAAAAAGACAAGGTCCAAGTGTCTTGGAGTCCCGGCCCTGACCTTACGTCTCAGCTGGCTCCACGTGACGATAAGCAGCCAGCAGAGAAAAATACTCATATGGACAATTCATAATATACACCCCATATACAGCAATACATAGTGGTCTACCATAATGTTACCAATAATATGCCCCACACGGAGGCTCGTTCTGTTGTCACTCTGTGCTCCAACAGAAACCGTCAACCAACCAAGGTCAGAACTCTCTCATCTTGGCATTTCGTCCAAGAGCAAGCCTAACCCAAAACCAAAACCTGATCCAAGACCAAGTGCAATATCATATTCAGAGATGCACTGATCAGGATTCATGAGATTATGTATTGTTGACTCATGTTTTTGTATTGAATGAGTTTGAGAATGCATGAATACATATTAATCTGAATCCCGTCCCTGCCTTGGAGCTGCCTCAGTCCTCGTTCTACAGCCTGAGACCTGGTTTTTAGAGTTGTTCTTTGCCGAAGCAGAGTCAGATACCTGAGGACAGAGGTGGTGATCCAGAACACTCCACGTTTATGGACATTAGTCGTCTGCTGTTTATGGACTGACTGCTCTATGTGTGTTATCATTTCATTTGATGGGTTTGAACGGTTTGATTTTGATCTGTTTTGTTTCTGCGAATTCAGAAGTTTTGTAAAGTCCGCCATAACCATTTTTGTGTAGCCCTAAATCATAACAGATAGAATTTTACCCTGGTTTCTATTCTAATCTCATAATTTATATACTTTCTGATAAGTTTAGAACAGAGAGAGAGTGTGGGAAGACCCAGGCGAGTATCGTGACCTGCAACTTCTGCTGCTTAGCTCCAGCAAAGTTTTCTTGCATATCCTATTATAATATACAACTTAATAATGTAATTTTATCCAACTCCATATCTCAATTCAATGTTAATCACAGCAGTAGTTCATTCAGAGGACTTCACAAAACTGTTGAAATCGCCAACACAGATCAGAGAATCAAACCGTTTAAAATAAAAAAATATAGAAGGCATGGTATTGGTCCGTAGGGAGTTGACCAGTGTCTATGAACGTTGATAAATGTCCCCAACATTCACGGATATTTTACCACGAACCCGATTGTGACTCTTCAGAAATCCAAAGAAATACCCACAACATTGGATTTCTCTTTGCAACCGGACGAAACGCCAAGATGTTAGTGAGTCCCAATAAAAACGGTTGGCTTTTTTTTTTTTTTTTTTTTGACTAGTGTGAGCAGGTTTGTGTTGCCGTGGTGACCCCAGCTGCCACGCCTCTCTAAACCAATCAGATAAGTGCAAAAGTCACGAGGCACGGACTGACGCGTGGTGTAGCACAGGTACAAGTGCCTCTGTGACGACCCTGCATCAGCATCAGCGGGCGTGTGTTTGCATATGGACACCCCCCGCCCGGCCTGCGCAGTGGTACAGCCCGCGTGCCTGTGTGTGCGTGCAGAGAAGGCACCTAGCTACAAACAGGACTCCCCAGTGCAGCTGCAGGTCTGTTCTGTCCAGAAAATCAGCAGAGAAGACATCCCCCACATTGACCAGTATGAGTCTGGTCAATCGTTCTGTGTGCACCAGTGGGTTATGTAAATGTGAAAAGTTTATTACGTCTTATGCTTGAGGCTTAGAAGGTTTTAATGAGACAAACATGTAAAGAAGCTAGAACTGCTTTATTACCACATGTTTTGGCGGATCTCTGACGAAACATGTTTGTCTTAAGGAACCTTCTGAGGCAGTGGTGTCAAACCGGTCCGCAAAGGGCCGGTGTGGCTGCAGGTTTTCGTTCCAACCTTGAGTTTTTTTGGAACTGACTTGTATGTGTGCTATTTTTGATGTGCGTTTTTAATTGTGAAGCGCTTTGAGATCCTGGTCTGTGAAAGGCGCTACATCAATAAACTTGACTTACTTAAACCTGAGCAGACTCCACCCATTTCCTGGTGAGTCCAGTTTTAACCCGGAGACTTGAGGAAATGGGCGGAGTCTGGAGCTAAACCCTGCAGCCACGAGTTTGACAGCCCTGTTCTAAGCATGAATGATTGGTGGTGTTCAGAAGGGGCCGATGGCACATACTGGTTTGCCCCAGGGCAGCTGTGGCTACAGTAGTGGCTTACCACCACCGTGTACGGAGAGAAAGCGTCTTTGCGTGTGCGTGAAGACAAGGCACCGCTGTAGAGTGTGTGGGCGCAGCTACAAACAGGACTCCCAGTGCAGCTGCAGGTCCGTACTGTCCAGGAAGTCAACAGAGAAGACACTTTGGGGGGTGTGGGGGGACACCAGGGGGGCTCCCGTTCCTCCCTCTCGCTCTCTGGACTCGCCACTGCTCCCGCCGCTGCTGCTGCTGCTGCTGCCCACCATGGAGATGTCCAGCCAGTCCATGCTGTCCAGGGCCGCGTCCCCGAAGTCCAGCTGGGCCGAGTGCGGGGAGAAGCCCAGGTCGGAGGTGTCCATGGGGGAGGCGGAGTGCTCCAGGATGCTGGGCGTGCTGAGCATCTGGCTGTGGAGGTCGTCGATGAGAGTGAGGCCGCAGTCCCCCTCCCCCCCCATCAGCGGCGCTCCCGTGGTGCTCTCCAGGAAGTCCTCCAGGCGCCCCGTCCCGCCGCAGGGGCTCCGCTCGCGCCCCGTCGGGCACAGGATGGGCTCGGAGGCGGTGGGCGTGGGCGGGGACAGGCGCAAAGGGGAGGGTGGGGAGGTCGGGGAGGGAGGGTCCGAGTGCAGAGGGGCCAGGGTGGGGTCCGGGTTGGATCTGAAGCCTGGGATTTCTGTGGAGAACATTCAACATGCGCATAAGTAATTTCCTGGTCTGTGACTTACTGTTGCTTACACGGCAAAACAAATGATTCTGATTTTAATCTTGTTCGCCGTTTTTGACTTTCTGAATGCATTTGTCTGAACTCTGAGATATTGGTCTCGGGCTCATTTTAAAGCCGTCACATCAGAGCTGCTCAGACCTGTCCTGCTCTACTCAACTCTTTAGAATGATTCTCTACCTTATTCTCCTACAGAGATCGATAAAGTATCAATACATCTATCCATCCATCTAAGTATCTATTTATCTATCATTTATCTCATTCCAAACAATGAACCCAAAAGGACATAAAATAATAAAACCCCAAAATATATATACAAATCAAATCAGTGTCCAGTTCTGTTTCTATCCAAGTGCACTCCACAGTTTGTTCAGACAAATATACCATACAATAATGTAACAACACATAGTCCACTGATGTAAAGAATGAGCCACGACAACATAACAAACCACAGATAAAACACTGGCGTTCACAGTTTTCATAATCCATCCTGGAATTATGTGAAAACCTCTAGAAAATGCCCTAATTGCTGACGGGCTATTAGCATTAGCCCCAAACGCGGCTTCTTTGCGACATATTGAGTCGACCGAGAATCTCCTTCAGATAAATCTCACCTCCACTTTTCAGCAGGATGTCGAACAGGTCGTCCATCTGCTGACTGTTCACACCGTTCTCCTGGAAACACGAGCAAACACAGCCACACACAGGACGTCAGGGCTGGGAACTGGCAAAAAGGTGACGATTCCATAGTATTGCGATATTTGGGCAAAAGTTCAAAATTATTGCGATTTTTTTACATATCGTAATACAGCAGGTTTTACGATTCGCTTCTATGATGTATTGCGATTCATGTTCATGTTCCTCATAATATATTTATTATGGTCTGTACATGAACTGAAGCAAACACTGAAGAGGAAGCGTAAAAACGTCACCCTTGAACAAAATCTTGAATAAAATATCACGATACTTTTCTGTAATGTATCGATTTAATTGCGTGCACAAAATATCGCAATACTGAACAGAATAGATTTTTTTCCCAAATCACGAAAACACCCACAGTACATTACTCTTGCATGACACCAATTTGAGCAACACACTTTTCTTTTGTGTAGCGAATGCAAATCCACACTACTAACTGTTTACACAAAAGCAATACACACAACTGTTTCAGGGCTGAGAAAAGAATGAAGAAAAACTGAAGCGGTACAGAGGAGAGAGTATGGATGAAGAGGGGACGTACTTTGGGGCGCGGCGAGCGGGGGGAGGTGTTGGGTTTGGGGGAGGGAGGGGTGAAGAGAGCGTGGCGGTCGTACAACTCTCTCTGCGGTGATGGACGCATGAGATGAGCAGAAGGAAGAGAGAGAGAAGCACAGACAGATCAGTGGAGGTCGTCTGCAGAAGCCGGAGAGGACGCGGCGGCGCTCGTACCTTGAGAGACGACGTGATGTGGTTCTGGCTCTCGCCGTCGCTCAGATCCTCGAAGAACGGCGGCTGTGAGGTGGGAGGAGCCGAGACGGAGTGGGAGGGCTGAGGAGCGAGGTTCACGTCTAGATGCAGCGCAGGCTTCTGTACCTGAAGGAGGAGAAAAGGAGTCTACTGTCCATTCTCAGACCTGGTCCAGACCGGGGGGGGCGGGCGGGTCCCGGCTCAGAAATGTCCAAAATGACGTGCGCTGACATACTTGCAATACCACCCCGGGCCAGTGGGGGTGGACCCGGAATAAGAATTAGCCAATGCTAACGTATAGCATTAGCAGACCTCTCGAAAACGTCTTTACAGGATGGACCAAAAGTTTGCTCTTGGCCCAAAGCTCCGTTCCACATGTGTGTCAATGCTGAGGGGGGTGTTTTGGACCAGTCTAGTTTAGTCGCTGTGGACTTTTGAATGCACTCGTTAAATGAATGGGGCTCGTGCAGCTGACACATGCACAGATGTGTTTTTTTTCTTCACATTTTCCAGCCCCTGCGGCCATTTCTAAACTGCCCATAGACGCCGAAAGTGATGGCAAATCAGTTTCAACAGTGGAGATAGGCGAGACCATGTCCGTTAATATTTAGTCTATGGTCCAGACTGGGGTTGAAAATGGGCGGGACGTTTCTGGAAAGTTTCTAGTACATTTCCATGGGAAGTTTAAGGTCCCATATTAATAATGATAATAATACATTTTATTTGAAGGCGCCTTTTGTAACACCCAAGGACACTGTATAAACGTGGTTAAAAACATTAGACTTGGGGTGGATCTGTATCAGTTTGCATATGAACTATAAGATGAGATAAGATAATGCTTTATTTGTCCCACAGTGGAGAGATTTCATTGTCATCGCTGAGGACATTATAATAAAGGGAGGAAAATAATTCACTCAGATCGCACATATCAAGCAGGATCGATTGTTTAAGATAATAAGATAATAAAATAAACTCTGGAGCTACACTATGGAGCTACATGTTCATATTGTGCTTCAGCAGCAGAGAACGACCGCAGTAAACAATAGTAACAATAGCTATGATCTTACCTTTTTCACTGGTTCCATTGGTGGCTGCTCTTTGGATTGGCTGTCGCTGTTGCTGCCGGGGAGCTTACTCGGTGTGGACTGGAGCCGCTGAAACCAAACAAACTCCATAAGAAACCACAAACGCCTTTAACAAACCGGTTCCCTGAGTCTGGAGGCGGGCGTCACCTGCAGCGTGATGCGGCCGTTGCTTTTGGCCAGCGAGGTCAGGCCGGTGTGGCCGTCGCCCGGGTTGCTGGTGACGGCGATTAGGTAGTGGTTACCGTTGCTGTCGGTGACCAGAGTGGGCGCTCCGTTGGTTTTGAGGAAGTCCAGAGAAATAGCCTGAGTCTGGACCTGAGAGGCGTTCTGTTGATTGATGACCACCGACGTCACCTGTCGCAGAACACGCGGCGGATGGATTTAAAATCATCAAAAAACACACATATTTTGTTACATTTGAAAATTGTGTGCGCGCAGACGGAAATGGTTTTCTAAATATTTACTAACTATCAGACCCCAAGGGATGAAAATGACCACGTTTTAAGAACAGAATCGACCGATATGGGTTGCTAACATATATGGTGGCTAGCCAAATTTGACTGATGAAAATAAATGTAGGGTGTATTTAAATACGTGGTTGTTTTCCAGAGAAATTTGGCTTTAAAATAAGGTATAACATGCAATGGTGGCTAAGCTCCTGGATGGGAAAAAGTTATGGGGTTTAAATGTTGGTTCAATCTCTAATTTTAAGTCTATCCTGCAACAGAAAATAGTCCAAACACAATCCTCTATAGATCCATTGTTTTTGCGTCTATCTTACTTCAGGAAGACAGCAGCAGGAAGTGTTTTGCTTCCTGCTGCTGTCAGACTGTACAATGAGAACTGCCGAGCCTGTACATGTCATTCATCTGTCAATAAAAAATACTGTAATCATGTGCAACACTGCAATTTCAGAATGTCCACAATGTCACTTTATCTACTGAGTATCCTGCCCTAGATGTATACAACTTTGCACTATACATATAGATATAGATAGATATATTGATATTGAAGCATTTACAGCTAGCTAAGCAACATAGAAGCTACTTATATTATGTTTAGTGTGCTCCCTGTGTGCTCTTACTACCGTCTTCCAAGTGCGCTGCAACATTGAACTTTCCCCACTGTGGGACAAAGGTTCTCTGATTGTATGTTACCATCTGTACAGCTGTAGAAGACACGACAAAGAAGCAAACACACCTTCCCTCAAACAGGGCCCTCTCACCTGCTGCGTTGGGGCCGGTGCGGTGCTCTGCTTGGACTGCGGCCTCTGCTGGACCCTGTGCGGCCTCTTGTGCTGACCGGACGCTGCCCTCTGGTTCTGAATGTGCACTTGAACCTGCTTCAGCTGGCTCCTCTGCTGCTGAGTCTGGACCGGACCTGGGACCTGCTGGACCTGCTTGCTCTGGCTCTGCAGCTGCTTCTGTTGCGTCTGCAGCTGCTTCTGTTGCGTCTGCAGCTGCTTCTGTTGCGTCTGCAGCTGCTTCTGTTGCGTTTGTTGGATGATGAGCTGCTGGATGTGCTGCTGTTGGCGAAGCAGGAGTTGCGGGTCCTTCTTCTGCTGCTGCGTCGTCGGTATCGGAGCTGCTTTTGCTTGTGTGACCATGGCGGCGGCTTTGACCTTGAGCTGCTCGGCCTGTTGCGCCTGCAGCCGCTGGATCTGTTGTAGCCGGAGCAGAGTCTCCTGCGAACACTGCATCTGCGTCTGCGGCGGATGCGTGGCCTTCTTTGCCTCCTCCTCCATCTTCTCCTCGTGCTCCTCGCGTTTCAGTCTGAGCAGCGCGCCGTTGGGCAGCGTTGGAGGCTGAATGGCGGAGGCTTTGATGAGAGTCTGAGGCTTGACCTGGACGCACGCCGGCTTGCCCTCCTCGTCCTCCTTCTTGACCGTCTTTCCCTGCTCCAGCTGAGAGCGCAGCGTCTCCACCAACTGTTGCTTCTGCCGTAGCATCCGTGTCAGCTCCTCGATCTGCTTGTCCTTCTCCTGCAGCATCAGGTCCTTGTCCGCGCTCGCCGGTTCCGTGGCGAGGTCAGGGAGGGCCGAGGCACAGAGCCTGGCCAGGACGCAGGACGCCTGGGACTCTTCTTTGAGCGAGCTGAGGACAGACTGGCACAGAGAGCTGGAGGGGTGCTGAGGGGAGGGGTGCAGGCTGAGCTGAGTCAGAGGGGAACTCACCTGAAACACACACGGGAAAGATTCACGTTATTCGCTATCTGCAGTAAAACCACAGTGGAATCAATGTGCAAAAGTCCCCAGTGTGCACCAGACAAGCACATCAACAAAACAAGCTAGATTTAACAATAAGAAAAAAGATGACACCAACAATGGTAATGTGTAGCACAAATTATAACAAATTATTACAATTATTACAAATTATTTTCAATAATCACATTTTGTATGCAAATTGCCAAAGTGTTGCTGAGTATCTAACTATCTATCCATCTATTTACCTCTATCTGTCTACTTACCCATCCACCCAAATGGAAGCAGGAGCAAGAGGAATGTTTAGCAAATGTAATCGATGGCAAAGATTGTGGCGCTACTCCCCACGGGCTCCGTTAGCGCCAAAGGAGATGGCTAAAGCTAGGCTAAATGCTAAATGCTAACAACTCACTCGGGCGCATTACATACGTGACGGTAAACTCAGATCCAATCGTTTCAATCTGCAAAAGGAGTTAACCCCTCCCACCTGTTAACGGAGTCAATGGAGCAAATCCAGGCCTTAGTACGAAATGTAATTTGTACTAAGGTGTGGTACGACCAGGCTAGGACCATACCAACCCATACAAAGAAAAAATTATCCTTAATGCTCTGTAAATTGTTATGTATGTTTGTATTTGTGTAAATTAGAGGATTCACCTCAAGGGCCTTTCCCTATATAAACTTAAAGGCACTAAATGCACTCACCATCTCCCCGAACATGTCGCCGCTGCAGCTGGTCTCGTCGGGGCTCATGGCGGCCAGCGAGCGCTCGGAGGGGGAGGGCGACACCGGGGGCGAGGAGCTGGTGCTGCCGAACCTCATGATCTGGTGCGGCTGGACGTGAGCCATGGAGGGCAGGCTGACCGTGGGCAGCTGTGGCTCCAAGCTGTGGCTGCTGAAAGAGGAGGAGGAGGGTGTGCTGGTGCTGGACTGGGAGCAGGTCTTCACGGCGCTGGGACCGTTCTGCTCCTGGTAGTTCCGCAGACGCTCGATCAGGTCATTTTTGGTGCCAGACACTGTGAGACCTCGCAGTTTCAGCTCGGCTTTTAACTCTGCCACCTGAAGAGGGAGCCATGGCCTTGTCAATAAAACAGATCAAACTGCATAACACCCTTTTTTCTTCGACACCAGTGGAAAAGCAGCAGTAGCAGGAAAGAATGTGGGCCAGGACTGGAGCACTAGAGTTAGCTCTGAGACAGGGGCACGGCACTCACTCACGCAGATAAACTTCTACATCCCTGTGCCGTTGCTTCATAGACTCTAGTGACGACTATCTCTGAGTGCATTAACCCATTGAGGCGGGGAACACATTCCTGCATTTCTACCCAGCCGGGAGCGATCACGCAGCCGTACCGTGGTCATTTACCAAGCTGGAACCATAGACGCGCAGACAGAACCATAAACGCATAATCAGGACCATCCCCAGCTTGTTGCACATGAAGGTTTTGCCTGTCCTCCCCTGAGTCTCCCCCACGTCTTTAAAGCTGAGGTACCTACATTTTCGCTTGCATTGGCAATGCATGCTATTTGTGCACGGAGGTAAAATGTTGTGAACAAATCAAACTGAACAAACCAAAACAGTCTTTTTTTTTTTTTTTTTTTTCTCACTTAAGAAAGAGCCCTGTGAGTCATTTTTTGACTTTTTGGGATGAGCGTGTTTTTTTTGTTTTTTCACACAGTGCCACTTTATTGCCAAATTCTTGTTAACTTATTGTGTTAATAAATATTTGTTAGTCTCACATTAATTTTGGTTGTTTTATTATCTTTCCTGTATGGAAGTTGTTTTACCAGGTGTGTCAGGCCTTAATGGGTTAAAAAGTCAACAGCGGCTAAACTAGACTGGTCCACAAAAATGTCCCCCCTCTGCTTTGACAGCATCTGGAACAAGAGGCGACTTTTGGACCAGCTGTAAAGCAGTTATCAAGAGAAAAGATGGAGCCGAAGGAATGCATTGGATAATTCTGTTTCCGGGTACACCCCCACCGTAAAGGAGTCAGATTACAAGCACGTCAGCGCACATGCTCATGGACCGTTTGAGCCGGGACCTGCCCCCACTGCTCCGGGTACATGCAAACCGCCATCTGGTATAACTAGTGGTCACATGGTCTACATACTGGAGCTGGTGCCACACCCAATAGGAATTTAGGACCATTTACATTTACCAGAAATACCATAAATGCATTATTCTGATGAGTCACAAATGCTTTTATAAAAGTAGGAGACTGACCTTGAACTCATCCAGGTTCAGAGGGAGAGCTCCAGGTTTGGCTCCAGGGGCATGGGTTTGAGCTGATCTCATGGCCGGGCTGTGATTGGAGGAGGCACTGGTCGTCGTGGTGATGTTACAAGCAGGGGAGGAGCCAGAGCTGGTAGTTTGAGGCTGCTCATTCGACGGTCTGAAGGAAAGACAACAACAACCGACTTTTAAAAACAAGACCTCACTGAGATAAGAGTGACACAATGTACTTTTTGCAACAATAACTAAATTGAAAGTGCGATGTAATATTCAGTGTTGAAAACTTATTTTGTGAAAAAAGCACCTTAATACAGTGGATTGCAAAACTCTTACAATTCGATTTTTTGGTAAAACTTTAGATTAGCCTTCACTAATTAACAGAACATATTTAATCATTCTGAAGGTCCTCATTCCGGCTCAAGAGATCAACGAACAACCTTTTATTCCCACTTTAAAGTTTGAAGAAATGGATGAATTCTGGAAGTTTGTAGATTGCACTTTTGACACTCCACCACCAGATGTCACCAAACAAGTATGTGTGTGTGTGTGTGTGTGTGTGTGTGTGTGTGTGTGTGTGTGTGTGTGTGTGTGTGTGTGTGTGTGTGTGTGTGTGTGTGTGTGTGTGTGTGTAGTTTGTAATGTGTTACTGTCATTATTGTTATTCTGTTTGTTGTGGTTGCTGCCGTTTGGTTTCTAGCTTTGTGTGTCTGTCGTTTTATCGTTAAAACATGTTTTCTTGTAATATTTAAAAGCCAAAGCAGCACAAACAGCTTTAAAGCCCCACACAGCCTCACTGTATTCTTCCTTCCTGATGAATGGTTGAAAAAAAAATAAAAAAATCCCAGATGACTTTAAGTTGAATAACACACCGTTGTGTTGTGACAAAAACAAAAGTGTACGGGCGCCTCGGTCACTTCCCATGAGTCACTGTGCAGAACCCAATGGCTTTAGTGGAAACAGACACTTCCTGTATCCTTTCATATAAAAAAACAGCCTGTGCCGTTTTACAAGAGGAGGATGTGGGTGTGGGTCTGGCTCCACCACCTTCACCACCACCCCCCACCCCCTGCCCTCTGCACAGGGGCAGAGCAGAGAGGCACATACTCCAATACATGCTAACTGCTCAATGACTCAAAACAAACCTGACCCCACTTCTCCCATTTTCTCAAGTAATACACATCAGAACAATAAAACATAAAAGCCATTAGAAACACATCAATAATAAAATACCAAATTGAACAAAATATGGATCAATAACCCTGGATTGTATGTGTGTGCGCGTGTGTGTGTGTGTGTGCGTGTGTGTGTATATATGTGCGTGTATTTTGTTAGACCTTAAAAGGTTTTTAGGTTTTGTAAATATGTTTTGTTGTTTCCCAGCAGAAGGATTCTTGTTTAAGATAGATACTTTATTGATCCCCCATAGGAGCAATTCAGGCGTCCAAGCAGCTAAAAAAGAAAGCCACTTGGTTCGGACCATTTTCTCTGACCTGGCCCAAAGTAAAATGCAGAGTGCTTTGTTAGCATTTATCAAAAAGTTAGCATTCCTCCAGTGGATTTTCACCTGATCCGCTTGTTTCGGACCATGAATCCTCTCTGCTCTGGTCTAGACCAGTGTAAAACCATGAATCCTCTCTGCTCTGGTCTAGACCAGTGTAAAACCATGAATCCTCTCTGCTCTGGTCTAGACCAGTGTAAAACCATGAATCCTCTCTGCTCTGGTCTAGACCAGTGTAAAACCATGAATCCTCTCTGCTCTGGTCTAGACCAGTGTAAAACCATGAATCCTCTCTGCTCTGGTCTAGACCAGTGTAAAACCATGAATCCTCTCTGCTCTGGTCTGGACCAGTGTAAAACCATAAACACTGTACTGCAGCAACATCTCAGGTAGAAAACAGTGAGAAAAATAACAATAGTAAAGCACACAAAAAAAGTAAAAAAAAAAAATAGTAACATTTTGTGAAAAAAAATCAGACCTAAACAGTCTTTCTCCAATGAAAAAAACATTTTGTCTTTACATAGTGGGAGCTGATTGGCTGATTCCTCTTTTGTTTTTTTTAAATGTATTTTAAACCTTTCTTTGAATTGCATGTCATTATATGCTATGCTATGCTATGCTATGCTATGCTATTGTATAGTATTGTATGCTATTGTATGGTATTGTAATGTCTGTAAGTGTTAATACAAATAGAAAGGAGGCACAGACTTGGGCGGGGCCGGCAGGATGGTGTGGTAGTTGTAGTGCTGCTGCTGCTGGTTCAGGATCTGCAGCTGGAGGAAGAGCTGCTGCTGATGGAGCAGCTTGGCGTAAGACGAGTCCATCTGCGGGGGGCGCTCTTTGTCCGCCTTCTGGTCCGGAGGGATGTACTGGTGGTACTTCAGCTTCTTAACCTGCAACAGAGATGGCCTTTGTGTTTACGTTGTTATAGAAGTGTCAAGTCAGAAAGTGCAACAGAACCACAGGTGTCACTTTACTATGTCCCAGACCCTCATGCAGCTAACACAAACACACAACTATGTATTACTGCACTAGAATAGCCTGTACTTTTTACTACGCTAGATAGTAAATAGATACTAGCTTCTTTATTATGCTAAAGCTAGATTTTATACTAGCTTCTTTATTATGCTAAAGCTAGATTTTATACTAGCTTCTTTATTATGCTAAAGCTAGATTTTATACTAGCTTCTTTATTATGCTAAAGCTAGATTTTATACTAGCTTCTTTATTATGCTAAAGCTAGATTTTATACTAGCTTCTTTATTATGCTAACGTCACGGATTGTATTTTATTTCAGTATAGAGTTGTTGATCTCACACATCTGTTCTGTAACTGGAGATGCAACACTGAAATTTCTGGCCTGGCTCCAGCCGAGCCACATACAATTTCCTCACTGTGGGAGGAAGAAATCTCAATAATAATCTTAATCTTAAATGATCAATGAAGGAAAAAGCACAGTAATCCAGGAGAGCCCTTCTGTGTTTTAGACTCGAGATTTGGTCCCGTATTCATCGGCTTTTCAAAAAAATCTCTAAAATAAAAATCTTACTGAAACTAATAAAAACTGGGATGACAAATGTATTTATTTTTATCCCCAAACTAATAATTACCATAAAAGACAATCAAAGGCGAGACCTTTGTCTATTTTCTTTCTCTTAAACCTCTTAAAATTTCTCTTGATAAAAGGTCAATCATACTGTACAATGTGTTAAAAAAGGCTAAAACCCCAAAAGTTAAACTGTTAAAATTCTTGAGTTTAAAGAATTATTCTAAAATGTTGTAAGTTACTGTAAATGTCACAATGATTAAAAACTGTATAAGATATTTTAATCATTAAAATATCTAAGTTTAAAAACAGGTAGAGCAGCTTTAACCCCAGAGACACTCCCATTATACAGATTTAGACTTAGATTTTCTACCTGCAAACTGTGGACGACTGTAATGTTCATTTTCATTATTATTTTGTTCAATAAATGGACTTAGCCGGATTACGTCTCCCTGGTCTTCGGTGTCAGAACTACTTTTGGCTTTCTGCAACTGTTTTTAAATGAGCCTCTACAAATACGACGGAGAAAAGCCGTGATAAACGTCCCACTCTGATACTACTACTACAGGCCATTTATTCCACCTGATTTAGTAAACGTTCTTATAACATACAGTATTGTGCATCTAGTTTAGTAAAAGACAAAAACAAATCTTTCAGTGGAGTGTCCATTGCTTTTATGCCTCTGCCGTTACTGAGTGAGGACCCGTTTGCTGTAAGCTGAACTGGTTGCGTAAGGTCTAAAAATGGGACTTCCTGTCTGACCAAGTCGTTCATCTCTTCTGCTCTTGCAAGTCTCTCTGTATCACGTTTAATACACATTCTCTACTTTGGATTTGAACTCATTCGGGGTGAGTCTCCCCCGTCACAGAGCAGGGCTGACCTTAGGCTTGTTGTCTTTGGCCTTCTTGGATCTCTGGGGAGGCCGGTCCGAGCTGCTCTTGGTCTGGGACTGCTCAGGGGGGGAAAGAACCAGAAAGGCATCGTTATAGGTAATTGATACTGCAGCGTTTAGTGCAGGGGTCTCCAGCCTGAGCCCCTGTAGCTGCCCTCACCCTTCAGAAGGACTTTACACATGCTGAGGCGTTGCTATTCAGACACCTAGGGGAGATTTGTTGTGTCAGATTTTGACTTTTTCAAAATCGACTTTCTTTTCGACTTTTTTGACTTTTTTTGACCGGGCGGCACGGTGGCTGAGTGGATAGCACTCTCGCCTCTCAGCAAGAAGGTCCTGGGTTCGAATCCCGGTCGGACAAGGGCCTTTCTGAGTGGAGTTTGCATGTTCTCTCCGTGTCTGCGTAGGTTTCCTCCGGGTGCTCCGGTTTCCCCTACCACTAAAAATATGTCCAATAGTTCTGGCATGTGCCTCCTGTACTGGCCCCGCTCCCATCTCTGAGTGGAGTGAGAGACAAATGCCCAAAAAAATTGTAAACCGCTTTGAGACTCAGATCTGCAGTGAAAAGGCGGTATATAAATAAAAACTTACTTACTTACTTATTCTCAGGCTTTTTCAGGGTTAAAAATGTCAAATGGAAAAATTCAAGCTCATTTATAATTCAAAATCTGATGACACAACAAATCGTCCATAGAGACCTACAACTATTGACATACTTTAACATTGTGCACAATTGCGGCATAATAAATTGATTTATGAATAGGAGTGTGACAATATATCGATATGGTGATGTATCGTGATACTTTCTCACGCAATCCTTAATATTTACTCAATATATGGCTACATTTAGCATTCTACAATTCCTGTAGAATGTTCTTATTGATTATATTGGATGTGAGACAGATTAAGATTTTTACTAAAATGTGCAGGTTAAAAGGCATATTTGCTTGTTCACTTTAATGTTACACATGACACATTTATCCATTTATCTTGAAATAAAGTGTATTCTTTTCACTTAATTTATGCCATAAATATAAGAAAAATATTATCATAGGTATATTTTTTACCAATATATCAATAATCGCTGCATCGTCATATCCTGAGCTCTGTATCGCACATCGTATCGTATCGTGAGGTACCCTGAGGTTCCCACCCCCATTTATGAGGGTGGGAACTGTATCTATTTAAGGCGGCGCTGCAAACACAATACAACATAGGGCTGGGCGATAGAACGATAATGATATATCGCAATAGACACGTGTCTAATATCAATAGAAAATGGGGTAAATAGAATGTTCGATAGTTTAACTTCACTCCGTTAGAAAAAACAGGAAGAAATTCTGGGGGATGTAGGCAGAGGCTTCTCGAACTATTACGGGCAAGCATGAACCGCAAAACATTCCGGGGAGTGCAAAAAAAAAAAAAAACGCAACAGTCTGTGACCGCACCGTGCGTTGCGTCCATGGATCTATAGATCGTGTTTCAATGCAAGAGAAGAAGTTTTTCCTCACGTGTTATTAACAGAACAACAAAAAGTTAGGTACCCCAGCTTTAAATCTTGCATGTATCGTCTTCCCCATTATATTGACCTGAGAATCTCTTTTACAATCGTCCTGAAACAGTCGATTGGAGACCCCTGATTCAGAGCGACCGGAAGCTAAGCTAGCGTACCTTGACTTGACTGAGGCGAGAGGTGGGGGAGGTCACCGGAGTCGAGACTTTGGAGAGCGGGGATATGGAGCGGCTCATGGGCAGGGGGGGAGGCGGAGGGGGAGGCGGCGGAGGTGAGGGCTGAGTGAGAAACTGAGAGAGAAACAAAAACACCGGTCATTATTTTATATATACGTGTGTTTGTGTGTGTGCAGTAAAAAGGTGTGTCTATCGTGACTGGCTTCTACCTGTGTGGGGGACAGGTTTCTGCTGCAGGGACTGACAGCCTCGGAGGGGGACATCTGGGGGAGGACGCTGAGGGGGGAGTCGTGATTGGTCAGCTGGTCTGGGGACAGGGCATCGCTGCTGTCTTCGTCCAGAGAGGAGCTTTCGCCTTTGGGAGAGTCTGCGAAAGTAAGAGACAGTTTCATGAGTTTCAATGACAGATATGAAGGCCTGGTCCACATTCTACAGTCTGAGTCCTGGATCTACAGCCTCAGTCCTCGTTCTACAGTCTGAGTCCTGGATCTACAGCCTCAGTCCTCGTTCTACAGTCTGAGTCCTGGGGATCTACAGCCTCAGTCCTCGTTCTACAGTCTGAGTCCTGGGGATCTACAGCCTCAGTCCTCGTTCTACAGTCTGAGTCCTGGATCTACAGCCCGTACGTCCGTGTTGGAGCGAATCCCTCTCTCAGTATGTGGGTCTCCCCGAGGTTTCTCACTTTTTTCCCCACTGGGATTTTATGAATTTTCCCTTGCCAATGCAGGAGGGTCTGTTGGGTAGTTAGTGTCCAACAAAAGACTGCGGTGATGATCCACACTTTAACATTCTACAACAAGTACGACACTTATCAACATGTGTTCTAAATTCTTTACGTGTCTTAACTGTAGATTCTCTGATCTGTGTTGGTGATTTCAATGGTTTTGTTAAGTCTCTGAGATGATGCTGTTGTGATTTAGGGCTATACAAGAATAAATTGTATTGTATTTTACTTATTTTCAAATGGTTAGAATCTGATTTAGCATTTTGCAGTCCAAGTTATTTGCAGACTTTCTCACAACTTTCAGAGGCTGTGATGCTAGGCTAACAATTAACTCAATTCATTTTTTTATCGCCCAAAATCACAACAGCAGTTTCTCTGAGGACTTTACAAAGCTGTCAATTTGCCAACACAGATCAGAGAATCAAACAGTCCAAACCCAAGAAATGCAATGATAAAAAACACAGAGTCATTGGTCCATAAGGAGAATAAATGTTGAATGTCCTTAGACCAAATTACAAAAGCATTTCCGGTTTCTCGTACTATACAAACCACCAACTATTTTTTGGGAATATTTTTTAGCTGAATTAGAATCTATACCCCCCAAAAACGTATTAGGGATCCACGGATTTGACTGATTTTGGAGCAAATACTAATTTTACAGTCAAATAATTAATGACATAGCAAACTTGTTTATGCTTTAGACTTACTTTTTTTACTGTCAACAATAAAATATGTGTGGATTACATTATTATTATCTATTTATTCGATAGGGACAATGCACATGAATGAACATCAGTATAAAACAAAATGTAAATATGCCGGATTATAGCAACCAAGCTAGTTTTCAACCATAGTCCCCAGACAGGAAAATACAAATATAAAACAACAGGTGAGCTTTCAAAGTCGGCCTTTGAGAATTGGGCAAAAATCTGCAATGGTTTTATGAATCACAAGCAATTAGTGTGTCTTGCAAGACTTAAAAATCTGCATGTTTAATTGTCAAAAACGGGTTAGAAATGGGTTGGTCCTTATCATATATTTTAACTTTTCATTCTGAATATTGG